TGATAGTATTTTATATACAAGGGCAACCATGTGACTTGCCTTCACCAATAAAATGTGGATGAAAGGGAAGCCTCAAGAGCCAGCCAGTGGTCCTGCCATCTGTTTCCTCCATTGCCCAGATTGGCGGTGATTGGCAATGTCCCAGACAGGGGCTGCTCCCTCGGTGCAGGTTCCAGAGTGAAGGTGGCATCGGGGAGAGCACAGACATCGAGATAGGCAAGAAGCACGAGTGAGAAATAAACCTTTGCTGTTGTAAACCACCAAGCCTTTAGGATTGTTTGTTATATCAGCACAACCTGACACCTCCTGACTGCTGGACCAACCCTCACGGGCTTGAAGACACTTTGGTCTCAAAGCCAAGTATCAGTTTTTCATCTGTCATCAAGCAAATGGATGCTCCCTAGCCCACCCCCATGACTTCAGAGACCACTCTAGCCAACCCTTGGACTCACCTGACACTGTCAGTGACAACTGCAGCCACAATTCAGGTACTTGCACAGTGACCAACATTACCAACCTCTGCCCCTCTCACTCACTCCTCAGGGAGGAGCGACTTATTGCCTGGGCCCTACTTTCAACACATTGTCCCTAATCCCTGACATGGGGGGTATGGCTCCAGCCTGTACTCTCCTGCTTTACATCTTCTCCTATGTCCCTGTGACAACGGCGGGACTTGGAGAGAGGCCAGTGGCCACCCCCCACCCCGCCACTGACTTTCTATGAATTCCACTATTAGCGTGACCTGGCCTGTGAAGCAAGGTGCCAGGAAGGGGCCCAAAGGTGGGTGTCACTGGCAACTGACCCACCTTCCCCTCCTCGGCCCCCGTTTTCCCACCCCTGCCCCTTCCTTCTCCCCAGCAGCCCTCTTGCCTGTCTTGCGCTCTGGCTGGGACCGTCTTAATCTCTGGAGCCAGCTCTGGGTCTCAGTTGCGTGTGGGCAGCCTACAGTCAGGCTATATCTGACATTATGGCCCCACGTCCCGACCTGAGGTGAACACCGTTTTCCCTTCCGTTCTCTCTAGCACTCCCATGAAGCCCGGACCCCAATGTGGGCGCAGGGCATTCCCGAACAGCAGCCAGGGGACTCCCACTATCTTAGCTTGTCCGTCTCCCCGCCGAGGGGGGCTGGGGCCCCCTTGGCTCTGGAGGCAAGGTGGCCACGGCCCAGTTCAGGGTACAGATGTCACCTTTCCTTTCCCCTTCGGGGCAGACGTTCAAATGGCTGCACTCACAGCCAGGAAGCTGTAAGTGTGTGCCATGGGAGAGATGAGTAATGAACACCATTAATTTCAGGAGTGGGAGAGGTCACTTTTGGATCCCGCAGAACTTCCTGGCAGAAGTAAGAAAGGTGCAGAGCTGTCAAGGGTGGGTAGGGGTTTCACAGGCTGAGAGGAGGAGCGAGAGGAGAGGGCATTCTGGGCATACGAACAGCTCAGGCAAAAACCCAAGGTGGGCACAGCCTGAGACCAGGAGGCCTGGTGGCTGGAGCTGAGGAGGATGTTGGCAGTAGAGGGAGAGGAAATACAAGGGGCAGGTGGGGAGGGATCGGGCTCTGTTCCCCCAGGAGCTTGGTGTTGCTTTCTTACAAGAGGGATACATTCATGTTTGTGTCCGCAACACAGGGACTGGCGTTTTATGCTGCTGGATAGTTTTCTTTTAAAAAAAGATGGGAAACCTCCAGACCTCCAGCTTTGCAGCATCTAATCTAGCCCTGTCCTTGGCCACATGGCTTCATGGTCTCCATGGAGACCTCATTGAAAAACAACAAAATTTTTGGATTTTCTTTTTTTTTTTTTTTTTGAGTTGTGTCTCACTCTATCGTCTGGGCTGGAGTGCGGTGGCACGATCACGGCTCACCCCAGCCTCCACGTCCTGGGTTCAGGAGATCCTTCTGCCTCAGTCTCCCAAGCAGCTGGGACCACAGGCATGTGCCACCATGCCAGGCTCATATTTTTTATTTTCTTGTAGAGATGGAGTCTCAGTACGTTTCCTAGGCTGGTCTTGAGCTCCTGGGCTCAAGCAATCCTCCTGCCTTGGCCTTGCAACGTGTTGGGATGGCAAGCATGAGCCACCACACTCGGCCTGAATTCTTGTTTTTAAAGAGAAATCCCCAGTTGTGGTAAGGCTTGCACTTTGACCTCTGCCTTCCAACACTTCCCCTGAACTCCAGTCCTTCCTTTACTTACCTAGACCCCTCCGTTCCCCCTTCAGGCTCTCTGGCTCCCCACTTCCACCCCCTGACTCTAGTTCCCCTGGAGCAGAGGCACCACCTGCGTGCCCTGTTCTGGCACCAAGGTCACTTCCTGGTCTGAATTCATAGGGCAAAGTCATGTCTTGGCTAAACATAGGCTTCCATGGTGGGCTCTTTTCTCCTATGCAGCAGCCTGCATCGCTCTAGGTTTAAAATTAATTAAAACCACCTTCAAACACAGACTATAATCTTCAAATTGTCAAAGATAAACAAAGCCAGATGCTAGGTTTTTTCTTCCTTCCTTCCTTGCTTTTCTTTCTTTCTTTTAGTTGGAGTCTTACTCTGTCGCCAGGCTGGAGTGCAGTGCACGATCACAGCTCACTGCAACCTTGACCTCCTGAGCTCAGGCGATCTTCCCACCTCAGCCTCCTGAGTAGCTGGGACTACAGGTGTGTACCACCCACGCCTGACCACTCTTCTGATTTTTTTGGAGAGATGAGGTCTCACTATGTTGCCTAGGCTGGTCTCAAGCTCCTGGGCTCAAGCAATCCTATTGCCTTGACCTCCCAAAGTGCTAGAATTATGGGCATGAGCCACCACGCCTGGCCTAAAGATTTTTTTTTTTTTTTTAATTTATTTTTTGAGTTGGAGTCTCACTCTGTCACCCAGATGGGGAGTTGCAGTGGCCGCTCCCGGCCACTGCAGCCTCGACCTGCTGGGCTCCGGCGATCCATCCGCCTCAGCTTTCCGAGTAGCTGGAACTACAGACGTGCGCCACCACGCCTGCTAATTTTTGATTTATTGTAGAGATGAGGTCTCACTGCCCAGGAGGGTCTCGAAGAGGTCTTGATTTTAATTAGTAATAATTATTGCAATAGGAAGAGTCTAGCGTGAACAGAACTCACCTTTGATTTGTACAGAGGTGACTGGGGGCCTTAATGAGAGAATGTAGGAATGGGGAGAAGGTGAGTGGTGACTCACAGAGAAGGGAAGTGAAAGGTGTCAAAAAACGGGAAGAGGCGCTGGTGCATGTGAACGTCACTGGGGTTTGCTAACTGGTCCTTACAGGAAGCTAAGCTCCCACCCTCCCGGGGAGCTGAGAGACAGGCTCTATCTTCAGGCACAGGAAATTCTTTGGGCAGCCTTGCACTTTCTCAGGCAAGCACTTCACAGAAGGCTAAGGGCCCCCCAGGGATGTGGCCTTGAGCTGCTAGATACTACTTATTGCTTGTTCGAGTCTTTATAGGCCAAGGCCGAGGCCTAGTCGAGAAAAGGAGGAGCCTGGCTGGAGTTTGGTCAAGGACAGAAACTTTGTGAAAGTGAAATATGAAAACTGCAGATAGGGTATCATTCCTGGCCTTATCCTCCATGCTTCTCAGGGCTAACCTTATCCTGATGTCGGGTAGGTGAGGGGAGCCTTCTTCCAAAGTTCAAATGCACTTGTGCATGAATGCCTGTGCGCGTGCACACACACACACATATACACACACACACACACACACACACACACACACACACCCCTCCATGTGTCCATAGGAAATATATACGTGTGTGTGTTAACAAAAATTATGTCTACTGGTTTCATTTAACAAGACATTCCAGTGTCCACATGATGATACCATTCTTTCTGACTCCAGCACAGTATTCTACAGTTTGACTGTTCCATAGTCTTTCTGGGTTGAAAACCCATTTCCAATTTCCACTGAAATGGCAATAAATAAAGTGTTCGTCCTCGTGGACACTTCCTTGAAGTGCTTCTTGGCCTCATAATTGGAGGACAAAGTGCTGGGTCCTAACCTCGACCTGCTGGGCTCCGGCGATCCCAGCCTTCCCAGTAGCAGGAATTACAGGCATGCGCTACCACGCCCAGCTGATTTTTTTATTTATTGTAGAGATGAGGTCTCGCTGCCCAGGCGGGTCTCGAACCCGCGGGCTCAGGCAATCCACTCACCTCAGCCTCCCAAAGGCGCTGGATTACAGGCTGAGCCACTGAGCCCGGCTTCTTTGTATTCTTTTTACAAAGATTTCTATTGCTCAACCAATTTCCCTTTTAAAGCAACCCAAGCCACCCGCACTCCCACCAGCTGGGTAAGAACGTTTATTCTTCACACCTTGGCCAACACTGGCTGGACTCAAATGTCCCAATAGTTGCCAGGAGGCAACGGCTACCTAGGAAGGTCAAAACGTGTGCTAGGTCAAAAGTAGTATTTCTGTTGGTCTCCTTTGGCCAGCTTATCTGTATTTCCCTTCCCGAGGCCTGGTTGGACCCTTGAGAAATGACTTCGGACTGAATACCGTTTGACTCCCAAGGCTTTGTCTGGTGGCTGTGTCCTGCGGGTGGCAGGACGGACAGAGGAAAAACTAAGGGGTAGAGGAGGGCTGAAGGACAGCAGCGTCCTACCCTCTCCCCAGTTAGAGCAACTGAAACTAAGGACAGGCTGCCAGAGCTGGCCCAGACTCCAGAGTCCAAGGCTGGGGCCGAGTGTACTCCCCATGGAGGGCAGAGGGAGGAAGGGCTGCTCCATTATGGGCCAGGCGGGCCGTGGGGCTGGGCCACCGGCAGCTGTCCCCTCCTGACACCTCCTGGGCTTACCCTGAAGTCCGGATGTGGGGAGAAGGGGGGGAAAGCGGGGTGAGGCTGGGTGGTGCAAAGGTGAAGCTGTGCTCAGCCGCACACCTGGCAGCCAGATAACAGCACTTCCATTCTGATCTGAGCGCGGCTGTGCGCGCCCCGGGCTGTCTGCCGGCTGGGGTCCCTGTCCCAGCACCTGCTCTGCCCCTAGCCCCTGCCTGCCCTGCCTGCGGGGCCATGCGGCTGCTTGGGCTCCTCGGCCTTCTCTGGATGTTCGGGGTCTCCCCAGGAGCCACAGGTAAGGAGGAGAGGTGGGAGGAGGCGGGAGAGACACTCCTGACGTTTCAGGGCAGGGGCGTGGGGCTCTGAGGCCCAGGGAGCCTGGGGGGGGGCACTTAGAGCTCGGGTGCAGGGAAAACTGGGAAGGCGTGGGGACAAGGACAGCTGGTGCTCTGCTCTCTACCTGCAGCAGAGGGAGGGCGGAGGGTGGAAGCCACTTCTCCCAGGGGAGTGCTCTTCCCGCTTTGACCTCGTTCGCCGCACTGGCCTTTCCCTCTCTGTCCTCCACCTCCCTGAGAGCCCTGGCCTCTGCCCCTGGCCTCCCTCCTCTGGCTTGGACTTCTCTGTCTGAGGTCCCCCCGCGGCCCCTCCCCAGCCCTGCCCTCCACTCTCTCACCTTGCCAGGGCCCATGTATCTGGGCACAGCTGTTGTCAGTGGGGTTCGGGCAGGGAGAAGCCAAAGTCCACTTCGCTCCGAGGGGCGAGTCCAAGACCACGTGTGTGGGGCCCCGGCCTTATCCCTCCCACCCCCAAGGCCCCAGGACGGCCCTGCCCCTTCCTCCTCCATGCTTCACGATGTCTGTTCCTGATGCCCAGTCATAGCCCACCCAGGCCAGAGGCCAGTGGTTCCCTCCGGGGCCACCTCCTGGCTCTAGGGGCTCTAGCCTGGGAATCCTATAGGCTCCTCCACCTCACTTTCCCCACACTAGGCTGAGAAGGGATCCCCACCTGCAGCTCTCAGCAAAAAGATGAGCTATGGCCGAGGTGGAGAGGCCAAAGCCGAGGGGCAGGAGGCCAGGCCCTTCCTCCGGCTCCAGCTGTGGCTGTCTGCTTTCCCCGCCCCTCACCCCTCCCCCCGCCCCGCACAGCCAGTCTGC